TCCTATATATCCCAAATATTTCTGTGTCATGCATGTTACCGCCGAGTTCTTCTATAATTTTCTCACTCTTTCTCTATCTGACAGACGAGGACTGATGGAGCCATTCTCTTGGGGTGTATCAATCCTTAAGGAAGGTACTAAACCATGAAGGTGTTCTGGGATTTTATAAGTAAGTTTATAGATTATTCCTTGGACTTGGCTCGCACTAAACTTGCCTATCAGGTAAGAAGTATACGTTGGAATAGAATAGTTGCTCGTAAATATATTTTAATCCTTTTCGGTTTTGTAATTGAGGTTAGAATAGCATAGCATCTCATAAATTGGGTTACTAAAGGATGTGAATGTTCCTTAACTTTTAAGGTTTAACAGGTTACAGACACCGGAACAAATTTCAGGAGTGGTATAAGAAGTTTATATCCTCGACCTGCATACGGTGGTGTAAGAGATGTACTCACAAGTGTTTACAAGGAAGGTGGAATGCGTGGATTATATCGAGGTGTTGGTATGTAGGTGATTTGTTTTCAATGTGTCATATTACCGGTTAAGAATGAATTGATTTGACAATGACTCCTAGTTCTGTGTATTGCTCTTATAACTGGCAATCGTTCTTATTTCCCTGTTTAAAGTATCTACAGTCTTTCGTTTATAATAGATTCATTAATTCAACGTTCAATCTTGAAATTCTTTTTCTGTATTTGCTTTGTTTCGCACTTTGCAATTTAAGCTTGGACTTGAGGGGGATTTTTCTTACGTAGGTCCAACACTTGCTGGCATTCTCCCATATGCTGCTTTAAAGTTCTATGTTTACGAGGTACTAAAGACACATGTTCCTGAAGAGCAACAAAAGCCCATTCTGATGCATCTTTCGTGTGGAGCAGCGGCTGGGTTAATTGGGCAGACCTTCACATATCCATTGGATGTCGTACGGAGACAGATGCAGGTTCTGTGCTATAGTTGTACATTTCTTGGAGGGGGTAATTACTACTCTATTTTGTTGGAATTGGCACTGTGTTATCACCTTTCAGGTGTTACTACGTGCAAGGAACTTTTTGTGGGGTTTTTAAATGTTTTAGGGAACAAATCTTGTTAAATAAACCGGATAGTTTGATTCAACCCGGTAATGTAAACCAAGATGAGTTATTAGTGTCTCTCTGCTTTTCGAACGACACCTAGCTTGTGATCGACTCATCTGGGATGTAATTTTTGAATGTTACCCTACAGGTTGAAAGTCTTCAGTGTTCAACAATTCAAGGTGGTAGTACAAGATACAGAAACACATTGGATGGGCTTACTACTATTGTCCGTAATCAAGGATGGAGACAATTGTTTGCAGGCTTGAGCATCAATTACATGAAGGTAGTTTATACACTCAACAAAATATCAACATTGCTGCTCGCTTTTGTGGATTTTTATTTGTTAGTTTTATCGTCCTGTAACTGCCGATAAACAAGAAACGTCCTGTACTTGTAAGAACAGATCCAGAGTTATTCAGTGTTCGGGTGCAACCTTTTGTTTATAACTGCCAACTTCACTTGACCTTGGAATGATTTTCATTTTAATGAAGTGTGTTCCACTTTGTTGTCAGATGGTTCCTTCTGTGGCAGTTGGATTTGCGGCTTACGACATGATGAAGGTTTGGCTTCGCATACCACCCCGACAAAAATCACGGACAGCATCTTCTGGATGAATAGAGACGATTTACATTGGGGCCAACAGAAATCCTGAAAAACTCTATTTAGTACTAGATAGCAAAGAAAAGTTTCATCAACCAAACAATAATACCTTGAGCTTATTATGTTTATTTTCAGATTATTTATATCAGAAAACAGAATCGAGAAAAATGGAGGGTGTATTTACAAAAAACAAAATACCTTGTTGTTTCAATGATTGATATTATCATTCATTTATTAATTTCGGATGACTTTTTTACATCACAATCACAGTTAAAGAGGATGAGATTGTGGTGGAAACATCATTTAAACATGAATTACTGGTAAGAAAAAGTGGGTGCCTGGCTGTTGCTCCATAGTTAATCCAAAATCCCACTGATTTGAGAGAAAAGAAAACAAACATGTAGATTACTTCAAATTCATTAAAAAGTCGGTAACTTCGTAACAACTTGAACTTCATTGCTGAAAACCAAGTTTCATCAAAAACAGTTCAAATATTAAAAGTAAAGAGTCCCCACAACCAACCACTTCGTCATCCTACAGTTTACGACCATGCAGAAAAAGAAGGAATTAGAGAAAAAGTTTTCTGGTTTTTGAACTGCTTGTTCTTCTCATCTGCTTCTGAGGTTGTTGACTGCATTTTTGTGGATTTATTTACATTCCCTCTTTAATTCTTCGTTCTCTTGAAGATCATTAAATAAAAACCATCTAGCAGCCTTCCCATATGAACTGAAGGATACTATCGGATAGCCTTTTTTAATCTAATGAGCATGTTTGATCATTCTCGTTTTTGCAGGTTTGAGTCTGTAAAGAGATTTTAAGATCAATGGGTCTTTCCCTTTCTTTGCTTTTATCTGCATGGAAGGAAATCCTGAAACGCCTAGTTTTTAGTTATACCGATAACATGGAAAAGGTTATTGTAAGGTCTATAAGCCTTGAAAAAGATGATGGAGAGAAGGATGATCCTCAGCCTCCCATTAAAGAACCAAAGCTTGAAGCTTCCGATTCCTTCAAACATTTACCATTTGACCAAGGGAATGTAAATGTAGTTGTTCCAAATGATAAAGCCAATGGAATCGTTATACCAGTCAAACTCACCATAACGCTCCCTAAACCAGTGATAATGTTTTCTCCAAGGCCCTTAAGTGAGCTTGATGCTGCTGCAACTAAGCTTCAAAAAGTTTATAGAGGTTATAGGACAAGGAGGAACCTTGCAGACTGTGCAGTTGTGGATGAGGAGCTCTGGTTTGTCACTGTCTCCATATAATATGAATTTGCTGTTTCTCTTTTGGTGTTTTTTTAATTGAATTTTTTGAGTATTTTTTGGTCTTAATATTAATTCAAACATTGAAGGTGGAAGACGTGGAAGACCTTAGATTCTGCAGCACTGAGAAGGCGTTCTGTTTCATTCTATGACATTAAGAAACATGAAACTGTCGTATCAAAATGGGCACGGGCTAAAACAAGGGCTGCCAAGGTACTTTGCTAGGCTTTCACCGCTAGTTTCCAAGCTTGTTTCAGGACTGACAAGATCATCCTTTTGAGTTTTTTTAGGTTGGGAAGGGTTTGTCAAAGGACGAGAAGGCTCAAAAACTAGCCCTCCAACATTGGCTTGAAGCTGTAAGCTCATCTAATCCTTGTTGACTCTGTATTTTCATGCCTAGCTGTAACATTGCAAAACTCTTACTAAGATATGATATCATTTGAACCTGGTTCATGCTGGCTTGGATTAATGGTTTAGTAGGATGCATAGGTCTTCATATGTCATATCATCAAACTAACATTGGCTGGATTAATCACTGAAATTTCTGTAACTGTTCTTTTATATCTTTGGCTCTTTGCAGATTGATCCACGACATCGTTATGGACACAATTTACACTTCTACTATGATGTCTGGTCAGCAAGCAAGAACAGTCAACCTTCTTCTACTGGTACTGTGTTTCATTAAACAATAAACAGACTTGACAGTGACTTAACTGAAGGTATTTCATCATAGCCTTGTGTTCTGATATCTGGAATTGAAGTTGGATATCGGCGACGGCAAAGAACTAAATCTCAAGAAGTGTCAAAGAACATATCTGCAAAGTCAATGCATCAAATATCTTGGACCAGTGAGTCTTATTACTTTCTTTCTCACGTGAAATGCACCAATTCTGTCTAAAATATGTAGTAAATTTCTTAACCATGTCTTTCTTTTCCTTGCTTGCAGAAAGAAAGGGAAGCATTTGAAGTGATCGTTGAAAGTGGAAATCTTATTTACGAGCAATCCGGGATGCTTGTTAACATCATTGAGGGTTCTAAGTGGATTTTTGTGCTTAGCACGACAAGATCATTGTATGTTGGGAAAAAGAAGAAAGGGGTTTTTCAACACTCGACTTTCCTTTCTGGAGGGGCTACAACAGCTGCTGGAAGATAGGTGGCTTCTCAAGGAGTTCTTGAGGTACATATATTGCAATTCAAACATGAATAAAACCGATTCTTTATTCTCTTCCTTTCCAGGCTATTTGGCCTTACAGTGGTCATTATCTCCCAACCGAAGACAATTTCAAGGAATTCATTATTTTCCTTGAGGAACACAATGTGGATTTGACCAATGTTAAGGTAATGAAACAATCTAAAACAGTCATTCCACTTTAACTATGTTTCATGGATATTTAACAATGTCGGAATCGTGCTTACATTCTCATTGCTGATGCAGAGATGTGCAGTAGATGAGGACTACACCTCCAACAAAGTTGCTGGTGATGAGTCTAAGCATGGGGTGATCGAAGATCCAATGGCTACGGAAAAATTAACAGATTCAGAGGTGTGGGGGTTGATGATGAACCCACAAATGATGCATGCATCAGAGCTGAATGTCTAGAAACCAGCATGGACACCAGTGCTGTGATTTTGGAAGCACAAGTATTCAACATGGTCAAGCGTTTGTCTTGCAAGTGGACAAGTGGTATTGGTCCTCGAATTGGGTGTGTCCGAGAGTACCCAAAAGAACTGCAATACCAGGCTCTGGAACAAGTTAACTTATCTCCCAGGGTAACCCCCGGTCGCTTTGCAAACTCTGGTCCAATTCCTTCACCGCGGCCAAGCCACAAAATTCAAGTCTCACCTAGGCTTGCTTACATGGGACTCCCCTGCTCAAGGGTGCCAGCTATGTCATCAAATGATAAATGAATTACTCTTTTAAGGCTATAGATATATCTTTTGTTGTTAAATAAAACTTATTACATTTAGTACAAAAATATTTCGAAAATACCCTTTAAAGCACTCCATAGCAACATCCAATAATTTTACAGCAAAACCGTACATAGTAGTAATAAAATGTAGAGGAAATATGACTCAGTCAGATACAATAATCACGTTCTTTTTGCGACAGTTAGCTTTACACCGTGTTTGAAGTTAAGAACTATGCCATATTCAAGCTCCAAAGGGTTTTCCATGGTGGGAGAATGTCGGAATGTATATTTCCGATATAGGTGAATCAAGGAGAGTTTGATTTCCTGTATGGAAAATTTCTGGCCAACACATGCCCGAGGCCCAATTCCGAAGGGTAGAAGAGCATAAGGGTGCCTTTGTTTCTCTTCTTCACAGTTTGGATCAAACCTCTCTGGTATAAACTTATCAGGGTCTGGGAAATTCTTTGGATCTTTTGCTAAGACCCCAACTGCTAACCACACCCAAGTTCCCTGCACATCCAAGATCATAGACAAGGGCATTAATCCATGAACAAAAAAATGAAATTACATTTGAGTTTCTGATAAGTAATACCTTAGGCAGAAGGTAACCTCCTATCTCCACTTCTTTTGATGTTTCTCTTGCAACTAATGGAGAAACTATGTAGAACCTCATGGCTTCTTTGACCACCTGAAGTCAACCCAAATACAAGAATGAATCTAGTCTTGAGTACCAATGTCAAAGGTTGCAAAAACAAAATGCAAGAAAGTGAACCCCTGGGAACTTGCCTGATCAAGATAAGGAAATTTATGTTGGAGATCATAAGCTGTTGGCACCTGGTCATGTGGTCCAAATCCATCAATCTCTGCAACCAACTTTTTCTCAACATCCTGATGTCCGGCAACTAAATAGACGATCGATGACAGTGTAAAGGATGTTGTTGCTGAACCAGCAAGAAGGTGCTCATAAGTAACTGCACTGATGTAATCCGGGGTGAAAACATTATTAGCCACATTCTGGGATTCCTTTGCACTCAATATTTGAGACAAGAAGTCCTTTGAACCTCGGTTCTTGTCTTTCATTCTGTTAGATACAATCTCATCAAGCCTACCACTCAACTTCTTATTAGTCCTCTCAACTTTCCAGTCCATAGTTCCTGGATTCGTTTCAGAATCTGCCTGAAAGGCTCCTGTAATATGGGAACAAGTAGACCTAGTATAATCGACATAGAACCAGACAAGTCCATCTTAAGTTGTGTTGTGGAGTATATATGTTGATTGATGAAGTCAAAGACTTGTTCTTGTTTATCCACAGTCTTGATCGATTCATTGATCGATTGTGGTCTGGTGAGGCCAAAGTTAACCCCAAATGCAGCTTGTCCAATTACATCAGTGGCCAGCTTGAGTGAGAGGTTTGAGAAAACAATATCTTGTTGAGATAAATGGAAATTTTCAGTAGCGGATTCAATGTAATCCTGCATGGTTGGAACTAGGCTTGCCAAGTGTGACGGTTGATAGACAGATAATATCGCGTTTCTCATAGTCGACCATCTTGAATCCCTGGAAGTTGAGGTATTAATCAGATTCATAATCTTTAAATGGCATAACAACAATGGAATAGAGACCCTTTTTGAGCTTGATACAATATAGGAGACGAGAGTACCTGGTGAAAAGAGACCTTTTTGATGAAGTGGGAGGAAGCAATAGGTGAGGGAATGCTTCTGTTTGGAATGTCCTTGAATTTCTTTATTCCAACTTCTTTACAGAGCTCTGCATCTGCTACGATTATCAAGGGTTGTCTACCCATATGAAACCTGCGCTCCACCAAACGAAACAGCCCTTTTTAGTAAAGTCTCGAATGCGAGTCTTCTATTGTTGTCGATGGTTATTTCCAATGAATTTTTTGTAAAAGAAAAAGAAATGTTGGGGACTTGGGGGTTGACTTTATGCATCAAATCAAAGTATTATCAGAAGGGGGGGGATGTGAAACAAGCTAAAAACTGACCTGAAAATAGGACCGTATTGTTTAGCAAGGACTGAAAACACATCAGGGCCGTACTTAGCCATCAAGGGCAGGTGTCCTACCAGTGGGACAGTCGGTGGACCAGGCACCCTTCTCACCTTCCAATACGGCTCATACAAATACACCACACTCCTGCAACCATGGCCAACACCGTAAAGATTATCGACACGATAGAAACATCAGGGTAGAACCAGATCCCTTCTGCACCACCATCCGAACTTTGGACAGCTTCATAACCAAGAGCCATTTCCTCCTTCGAGAGAGTTTAGTTTAGATATTGCAAAGTGGAAGAGGGTGCATATAAATGGCATTTGATCTTTGTCGGTATTAGAATGATTACATTGGTGAAACAGATACCACATTGTTTATATTGGACCAGATGGTGAATTAATAATAAAAATTGTTCGTGTACAACGTGTAGGACCTTATTCAACCCCGAGCAGGCCAGCAGTTCACGGGCTTTGATGCTTTTTTCCAACGAGTCGTTGATTCTCTCCGGTTCACGACAGAAAAAACCACTTTAGTCTGATTACAAAATGAATCATGGACCAGAAAACAGACCAGTAATATTATTACTTGTGAAACAACCTAATGTGAAAATGATTTCTTTGAACTCATGCTGATTGCGAATATACCTGTCCTTGCTATGCCGCAAGAAATAGTCAATGTGTACTTTATTCATAATAATAATTGGATCAATGGATACCCAAAATACCAGTTCCCTCCACCTTGGCCCATTAACATTATCGCTCCAATGGCCTATCAATTGTCCATGGCCACATGCCCTCTTCATCACCTATTTGTCCCGTCTCTCCGACGGTTACAACCAGGTCCAAATTTTAGTGATTCGCCCCACCCCCGTAATATATTAACCCCACAGCATCTCGATTACAATCCAATTTTAGTGATTTTTATTTTCTTAAACGACTTTAAATTCAATCTATTATAATTAAATCCTTATAACTGAACTAGCTTCAAAAAAGTGTCCCTCCCCTTCATCATATGCATTAGGGGGAACTATGAGTAACCGTTGACTAAAAGCCGACAATGATACAGACCATGAAGTCACTGAGCTCCCACCATCTGACCTATGTGTCAACTTCAATCAGTCCACGAACTCATTTTCTAAAAAAAATTAACGATAAATAAATACATCTGAAATTATTTTTAAATAAAAAAATACCATCGGCGCCGACGAGTGAGAGCCGGGAAACAAAAATACAAGCGCCTCAGTCAAAGTGCGCCACTGAGAAGTATATATTAAGCACTAGTGAATGATGTCCCTGGTGGAAATGGGTTTGCCTGGACCCAATAAGGATACGATACGGATCCACGTAACGGGTACAGAGTTGCCGTCAACGTCACCTCTTAGATTGCCACCTCCTCGAAAGTACGGGGCGATTTCCTCGAAAAAAAAATCATCCTTAAAAAACTTCTATTTCCTGTCAGGTATTATTTAAACTTTATTTACCGATCTAACACTCTTACCAGGAAGGCACAGTCTTTACACTGCGACTTACGCTGATCTAGTACCACGATGGGTAAGGCGTTCTCCATACAACGTGCCTTTTGAAACATGTAAAAAATTCGGATGTTAATTTTGAATATATTTTTAAAATAATGCCTAATATATAATTAATTTCTACTATAATGATATTTGTGTAAAAAAGTCAATTTTATTTATTTATTTTTTGTGTGTGAAAAAAAAACTTTTCACATTAAAATCTTTAAATATTTTTTTTGTAATTTATTTTATAACTTGACAAATTTTGATTTTTATATGAAATTACACAATACGTATAATCTAGTATATGCAAACTTTGAGGGTAAATATTTTAAAATAGGAATAATTTTATAAATTTTTTATAACTAGTATTTCTTTTACAAAATGAGGATGATGATGATAATAAATATTTTATAATTTAAAAAAATTATAAATTTCATATATTTTTGAAAAAATTATTGACTTCTAAAATTAATTGTTTAAAAATATAAAAATATTAAAATAAACTTTTAATTACAATTGACTTTTGCAATAAAAATTACTCTACTTTTGATTTTTCTGTGTGCACGTAGGCAACTATATTTAACAGAAAATAATTGAAAAAGAAATGAGTTCATACGCGAGAGAAAATGATGAGACAAAACAATTTTTTTTTTGAAGATTGAGCAGAAAATATCAACTCTTTAATCGAATGTTTATTCGTGGTACAATTGAGTTAATATTTAGACATCAGTTAGACAATTTTGAGTTATTGACTTTGTACGATCGAATTTTCATTCGATTCATGTAGCTTTCCACACCTACGACTGTTTAACAATCATAAACATGACTTTACGTCTTGATAATAGAGTGTTTTAAAATTAATTGTTTAAAATTATAAAATATATTAAAATAAACTTTTAATTACAATTGAGTGATCAAATGAATTATTATTCATTAATTATTATTTAACTACAGTTAATAATGTTTATTCATTTTTACTAAAATTAAAATTAAAATTTAATATTTATTTTATATTTTTTAAAATTAATATTAGAAAACTATTTTAAATAAAGGGCTTATATTTTTTTAGCTTTACATTCTATTTTTATTTAATTTTATTCACTTTTAATTCTTTTTTATTGCATTTTTATTTATTTAAAAAAAAGTGAATAATAATTTATTTGATCTAATTAAAAGTTTATTTTAATATTTTAAAATAATTAATTTTAAAAGTCAATAAAGATTATTATCTGTTGTTTAAAATAAAAATAAATAGATAAAGTTGACGTTTTACAAAAATATCACCCTACAGAAATTAATTATAAATTAGACACCATTTTAAAAATATTTATAAAATTAACAGCTGAATTTTTTACACGTTTCACAAAGAACGTTTCATGGGTGTCTTACCCCACGTGATGTAAGGCGCGGTGCAATGCCGCGTTTTCATGTATAGTGTATTAGATTGGAAAATAAAGTCTGAACAATATCTGATAGGAAATAAAAGCTTTTTAGGGTGATTTTTCGGGAAAATCGCCAAAGTACTTAGCATGTGTGGTTTGTCTTTAATGAGGAATCCTGTAAGAATGGCAAACACCCTAAAATAACTATAACAATTAATAATAAATTGAATAAATAAGATAAAATATTAAACTTTTTAAATGATAGATTGAATTGAATGAATGATTATATAATATTTTTATAATATTTATTTGAAATTAATCAATTGGTAAATATATTCTTATCATTCTGTTAACCATGTTTTATTAAGGTTTAATATATTTTTTTAGTGTTTAAATCATACATTAAAATACGATTTGATGTCTATAGTATATTGTCAAATATATATATCTAATGTTTTCTCCGTTACACTTTTACGTACCTACCTCTATATATTTTTTTTAAATTTTTTAATAATAAAAACCTTATTTAAAAAAATTAAAAATCAAACCTCATCCAGTATCATCCCTTCCCCCCTCATCCCCCACCTCCGACGATGAAGAGTCACCACCGGTCGGGTTTTATTTGAAACATGACGAGGAATTCTACGGTGACTATCGTGTTATATACGGACGACTATAATGGTTGAAAAATAAAAAAAACCTAGAAATTCGATAATATTTCACATTGTTTTTCGCGAATATAGATGCAGCTTCACAGTGGTTGGGGGATTGGATTTTAGTCGCGACAACGAGATGATTTTGACAGTGTTAATAGTGATGGACATGGGCAGACGGTGACCGATCGACGGCGGAGTATGTAAAATTAAGTGTTTATTGTTTTAATTATAATATTAAGTTTTTTTTAAAATAAAATAATTTTTAAAATTTTATATACATGATACGTGTCAGATAAATGTCAAATTTAACGGTTATTATCGTCCAGACACCTAAAAGTGTAACGTTGAAAACATTATATACATAATTTTAACGAAAAAATTGTTTAGACATCAAATCGTAGTTTGATATATAATTTAGGCACTAAAATATGTATTAAAACTTCTACTAACTAGACTAACATTTATCGACAATTATTATATGTTATACCTTTAGAAATGATCAATTCTATATCTATCGAGGTTCTTAGAGAAGCCTTTTTGCTTACCATAGTCTCTAAGAAACCCTAACCCTTCAGACACAAATCTTTGAGATGACTATAGTGTATAGATAAAACTACTGATAGGTCCACATAATAAATCAGAATGATACCCGTTTAATTATATATATTTGACTCATTAGTCTACTGTTATAATTACTATATATCTAATAAAATGATAGTCTCACGGCACCAGCTAGGATCACTATAAATATCTCCGACTAATAATTATAGAGGGGGTTGAACCTACTGCAACCTAGAAGAAATCTTCACAGTTATTCTTTCTTATAACTTATTATCTCTCATAAAAAAATATTGGTCCAGGTCTGTTTTCTGATCATTTATGATTTTCGTCTAGAGTAGAAATTATTATGAATTATTAACGGTCGACGAAATAAAATTGTTCCCATTTACTTCACCAATGTTAAAAGAACAATATTTAAACAATATAAAGCTTTCATCCTAAAAATAGTTTAAATATAAAATTTATAGCTTGAAAAAATAAATAATTTAGATTTTTCAGAATTATTAATGAAATTCAATCTTAATTTTCGTCAATATTAATAATTGTTCAACAAATTAAATTAAATATATGTTATGAATTTGTTGTTAATTTTAAATTCTCTATTAAATCAACTTTGTTTGTCTAGTTTTAAAGAAAGGAGAAGGGAAGTTGTACGGTGCGGAAGTTTTAATATACGGTTAAGAAAATATGTTATCGATCTTATTTTTTTTTATAAAACCGATAAAAAATTATCTAAAATATTATTATTTCTATCTAAAACATTAATGTTTTTTAACATATTCGATAAAGTGTCCGATAATAATAAAATCGGTAAAAAAAATAACAAAACCGATAGCGTTTTACCGGATATGTTAACAAAACCAATAAAGCGCCTAATAATAATAAAACCGGTAAAAATAATAATGGTTTTGATATTTTTTACTATTTTTGTTAAAAAATAATAATAAAATCGATAATATATTTTCTTAATTGTATATTAAGACAGTCGTATTTAAGACTTTCCCAATAAGTAACAGTGATGTAAAGTGAAGAAAAGTAAAGGATGGTATGTAGTGGCTTGCTTTACCTGCAAAGTGCCAAAGCTGTAAATTGACGGAGGTCTGTGCCATCCAATTCAGCCTTCTTTTGGGGTATTTTGTCTTGGA